TTTTAACAAAACCATTATACCCTGATTTCCCATTTTCAATGGGTTCAGGGTATAAAAATAATAATAATTTACTTACAAAAATATATTTTTTTTAAAATTGTTATATATTTTTATATAAATTTTATATTTTTTTTTTATTATATATTTTTTATTATATATTTTTTATATATATTTTTTTAAATTTGTTTGTTTAACAAAAATGTAACCATAACCAATAAGTTACTAAATAAAAAATGTTTTACGTTTTGTTTTCATTTTTTTTTTTAATTCTTGCACAAAATTTTATGGTACATCTTTTGTCAATAACTAGCTAAATAAATTATTTTTATAAAAAAAAAAAAAATATTTAAAAAAAATTGTATAAGTATATAAATTTTTTATTTTTAAAATAATATTTGTATATGTTTTTATTTATTACTGAACAAATTTTTTTTTACATTACGAATTTTATACAAATAATATATATATTATTTAATTAAGCTAACTTATTCTTTTATTTAACTATATAGTCTCAATTTATTGGCATAGATAATACTAAAAGTAAAATAAACAATTTTTTTCTATTTCTTTTTTACTTAATTAGTTAAGCTTGTGCTCTACTTATTTAATCGCTCTGAGCAATGGCAAGTACACTCTTGGAAAACCCATGCATAATACATATGAATATGTACATATATATAAATGCATATATACATACACATACATATACACATACATATGTATGCAGTATTGTGTTGCAGCTGGGCTAATTGAAAGCGTGGGTGGAAAGAAAAACAATTACGTCGCAGCTCATAAATGTGGCAATAAGAACAAAAGGGTGGCCTAACAAGAAAAACGGCGGTGGAATTGAAAAGCGTAAGAGGGAAATGTGTGGCCAAATGGGGAGCAAAGGCGGGGCAAAGGCGGGGCAGAGTGTGCGGCATGCGCCATTTGGCATGTAAATTAGAGGCCAGCCTTGAAGTATGCAATGCAATTTGTGCGCTGGACGCGCAGCGCAAAATGTTGCATGCAGCCAGCCATGTGTGAAAACTTGCAACTGTGCCAGCAGCAAAGAGAGAGAAAGAGAGAGAGAGAGAGAGAGAGAGAGAGAGTGAAAGCGAGCTTCGATCTGAAGACCCTTGAATTATGCAAAAGGCAAGCAAAGACGACCTTGACGTGGGGCGCAGGGCGCTGAGCTGGTGGCGCCACAGCCGGTGGCAAGGTGTGAAATTTCCCATTGTGTGATCGATAAAGTGGCCCATGTCTGTTTCATGATTATGATACGGGCGGGCGGTTGCTCGCTCACTCACTCACTCAGTCGGCCTGTCGGTGGTGCGTCCTTGAGCAAAAAATTTACGACAAAATAAACAACTTGACGGGCGAGCAAAGAAAGCCGAAGAAAGCGTCTATAGATAAGGACGCAAGGACACGCAGGCAGCAGCAGCAGCAGCAACTCAGCTGGGCTCGGCTCAATTTTATGACAGTAGCACGACGGCCCCACCCATTCATCTCCAGCGCCCCACCTCCCGCACTGCCACACAAAAGACAAATTGCCTATAAAACAAAAGTTGTTCATAAAATGTAGCGAAGCGAAAGAAAAGGATACGCATGCAATATCCCTAAATAATAGATATAGAGTTTAAGCGAATTATCTAAATACGAAAAGTTCGTCTATTTATTAAAGTTCTAGCGCTTTTCTTATATTTTAAACATATTTAACAAAAATTTGTACTTTTGCAAGCACTGTTTAATCTGCTTCAATTGATAAGCCCAATGCCTGTCAAAGTTGCATGCATGTATGCGTGTGTGTGTGTGTGTGAGAGAGCAAATGTAACACTTAAGCTGCGCTGCTCAAATGAGCTTTCCAATATTTACGCAGCGACTTGGCTTTGGCTGCTGCTAATCTCAACTAGCTGCTGACTGCGCTGCCACTGCCTTAGCCTCTGCCAGCTGGCTTTAGCTTGGGCCTCTGCCTCTTCTTCTGTCTGTGCCTCTGTCTCTGCTCTGCCCGCTGCCGCTGCCAGCTGCCTCTGCTTTTACCTTAGCTTGTGCCTCTGTCTCTGCTTGCTAGCCAAACATTTTTTGCATTGAGCTTTTCAAGTAAATTTGCTTGTTTGCGCTGCCTATTTGAGGCACAGCTGCACAAGAGCTACAGAGACGGCGACGCAGCTGCTGCGCAGCGTTTGACAGCTAGAACCGTTAGGCTTTCGCTTTGGCTTTGGCTCTGGCTCTTGTGGGTATTTCGGGGTTGTTTATGTTTTGCTTTGTTGCTTCGCTAGCTGCTGTTGAGGTAGGATGTGTGTATGTGTGTGAGTGTGCGTGAGTGTATGTGTGTTGTACATGTTTCTAGGTGTGTCTATGGCTGCAGCCAGTGTTGTATACTCACCTTTGACTTGACATCTTTTGAGTGCTGTTCAACATTATTATTATATATAATTTCATTTGTTTTGTTTCTGATTTGATTTGGTTTTCGTTTGCTGTTGTTGTTATTGGTGTTTTTGTTGTTGTATATTTAATTATATATTTATTACATTTTGTCTTGAACACTTTGTCTTTATCACTTGGCTGTTTGGCTGCAACGGTTCAGAAAAAAACTATCAAATGTCTAGGTGCGTGGGCGAGTCTTATTAACGGTCGCGCCGCACACTCATAAATCAATCAAATAATATTTTAATACATGTATTTAAATAAATTATACGTTAACGTTGAACTATAGATAAGAAAATCAAAGTGTTATTTAAACTATTTAGATTTGGGCTTAAAATAACATTTAGATAAATGTAAATGTGGGGCATTAGATGGGATTTTGTCGGGCTACAGTAAAACCACGCTATGGCGCCCAGCTGCCTTTGTAAATTCTTGATAAAAAAGTTGAGGAAAATTTAATCCGCCAGCTATAGATATTGATGGGGCTAAGGTTTATTTATGCAGTTTTAAATAGAAGTGTTTTTATCATTATATTTGTGTCTAAAAATTTAAATTTAAATTCATAATATTTTTACACTAATATCTTTCATTTGCTGTATAGTTTGTTGTTTTGATGTTATATAGAAAATGTTGTTTATCATTTAAATAGTGCGCATATAATAAATTTGATCTCTACTTTCTCTCTCTCTCATAATAAAATAAATTATTAAATTAAAAATTTAAAAAATGTATTAAAACTTTAGTTCGCTAATTTTTTTGCAAATATTTTAAGCAATTAAAAATTAAAAAAAATATATTTCCCAAACACTTTTCAACATTTATAAAATTATTCTTTTCCATTTAGTTTTTGGTTGCAATTTAGTTAGCACTGAGACTTGGTATAATTTTCACAGTTTTCATTGAATTTTTACACACGTGCTAGCTGGCATTGATGTTGCCCCAATGTTTTTGGGGCACATGCCACACAGGCTTTTTTTTTGTTTTACTTGTTGGCTTTTCTTGTGCTTCGGCTGCTGCTGCTGCCTCGCTTAGCCTTCAACACACACACACACACACAAGCCAGCAGGAGCACACACACACACACACACACACACACACTTGCACGCAGTGTCTGTGTAACATGTGCGCAGGTGTGCGCCTTGACTTATATCTGTTTTTTTCTCTTTTTTTCAATTATTCACAAGTTAATTAAATAAATTTGCATAATTTACTTGCTGAAAATTGTAAATTTTGATCATTTCCTGATATTACTTTTATTTCGCCCGTTTTTCTCGTTGACACACAAAATAGTTGAAGAGTATAATCGAATGAAAAACGGTTTTTTTTTGTTGACCAAAAGCGGAACAGAAAGAACAGAAAATTTTGTTTGCTGGTCGCTGTACGCTTGTATGTGGGTGTATTAGTATATGTGTGTGTTTGTGTCTGACTGTTTCCAACAACCACTGAACGCGCCCGCGCTGCTGCTACTGCTGCTGCTGCTGCTGCTGCTGCTGCTGCTCGATGCGTGCGTACGTGCGACACGCTGAATGTCTGACTGGCGACTGAGCCAGTATATCGAACTTCAATTGGACTAACGCCCCCAGAAGAGAGCGAGAGCACGCGAAAGCGAGCTGGAACGTGCGCCTGCAACAACACGCAACAGGAAGAGGCAGAGAGACAGAAAGTGAGAGAGAGAACGCGAAAGTGTGAGTGTGAGCTTTCGCCTAGTTTATGTGCGACGCTTTTTTCGCCGAGCTTTTTGTAACGCACATGGCATTTGTTTATATTTGTTGGTCTTTCCAAGTCGCCTGACTGGAAGCGGCGCGCCGCGGCGACTCTTCTGCTGTTATAAATAGCCATTGCATATTTTTAGGCCGCATTTGCGGCGAGTGCGCAGAAGATGGAAAACAGTGGCGAACGTCTGTCTTTAATTTTGTATTCGTTTAAACACTATGATGGTTGGCATAAAAGGGGGGGGGGGCGAAGGGCGGTTATCAAAATTTACAGGTTAAATCGGTCTGTTCGATAATTTGAACGAAAATGAATGAAAATAGAATCAAAATAGCAGCAGATGACAAAAGCTCTCTTCTTGCTCAATCCACTGCACCGGCATTCCCCTCGATGGCAGAGTGACCAATGTTCAATTGCATTTCGGCCTGAGAGTGCCGCAGCGGATACAGATGGTCCATGTGGTCGATGAAGGGCCGCACTCCCTCGGGATTCTTCATGTACTTGGCCACGCTGAGGATGATGTGTCGATAGATCTGATGATCGCGATACGCAGCATTCGGGCGACGCTTCTGAGGTGGTCTGCAATGGAGATAAACGAGCAGTTAATGGCTAGCATGAAAGAGAAATGGGGATTGAGAGCTAAGTAAACAGCTTTGAAATGGGGTCGCTTAAATGGGTTGCAGAGTTTCAAAATATTTCAGTTTGCTCGGGAATCTAACATTTAAATAGGAGAGAGGGCATGCTAAAAATAAGGGAAGATATCAACAGTAAGTAGGAATAAGAAGGTGTCCCTTTGGAAGGTTGACTCTTAACTCTATAGAAATATATATTTCCTAGTATTCAGCCTTACCGTTCCTGGGCTCGCTGAACGACTCGTCTGCGTCGGACAATCTCAGTTCTTCGGCAGCTTTCGCAGTAGGCGAAGTAACCGCAAATGGAAATGATTATGACTGCAATGGTATAAATCAGCCAGCTCCAGCCGAGGAAGCTGCAATAGACACGCATTAGAAGTCGCAAGCTTAATATCTTTGTCTCTCTCTCTCGCTCTCTCTTGCTCTTTCTCTCTATGCTTACGTCACAAATGTTGCATTCAAATCCTTCCAGATTTGCGAGACATTCTCGCGCGAGTTCCTCTTGGCCTCGTTCCTCCAAAAGGCAAACGAGAACATGGTCCTTATATGGTTATTATTTTTTTGGAATAATTTTTGCCTACAACAAATGTGTGTCAAGAAATTTTTGTTTATTGCCAAGATGTATTTACTTGTTGTCCGTAAACTGTTTAGAGTTTGAAGTACAACGAGGCGAATTATAAGGAAAGCCTACTGGGCAAAAGCCTTTCGAAGGCATTCCTTACATTCTATTGCCAAATTGAGGTTCAAAAGAAATATAGCGCAGTCGGAAGAAACTGATTGCAAATTAAAATTTTGGGCTGAATCAAGATAGGCAGTAGATAACTTAAAAATTACAAAATACTTTAAAACTGGTGTGAGGCATGTGGAAAAGCGAATTCAATGGAATTTTCATTTGATTTTCTAGTTTTGATCATTGAAATTCTTAAACAGTGTTTAGAATTAATTAGTGGGCTGTCATCTATAGCTTATCCTTAACAACGAGGAAGTTGTTCATAATTGTTTTGCGCATTTTCATGCTTAATAAGGCGTCAAGGCCGCGCGACGTTCAGCGCTTGTTGCGATCAGTAATCGGTTGATCAATTGATCAGTTGATCAGTTGATCGCAGCGTCTAATGCTAACAAATTTGAGTCGAGATTCACTTTGTCTGTGGGAAATCTCGAATTGGCGAATTGGCGAATTGCCGATTCGTGCGCTTCCGTCAACGTCGCTTCGTCTGGGAAAGCGTGATCAAATAAATTATCTACGGAACTCTGGGGTAGCGCAGCTGAACGGTGTCAAAAGATCTTTTCAGCGCATACATTTGACAATTCGCTTGGACACATGAGCGCGATTTATGGTCGACTCTTTGGGGCATAGACAGGGACACAGATAGAGGCAGAGGTAGACACGAGGGAGGGGGAGGGGGGTTGCCCATATGACATTGCATATTGCTCCAAATTGTCGGCCCAGCCCATAAGAAAGAAAAGAAAAAATAACAAACTGTGCCTGCGTGACGGGGCAAACAAAACAAGCAAATTGCAATGCAGACAACGTCAGTTCCATAATCAAATGATCCTAACTCTCGATTCTGCTGACACATGCTGCCTCCACTCCAGTTCCAGTTTCAATTGAAATCGAAGTTCTAGCCATATGCAAATACACTATGTTGTTTTGTAAGTATATGGGGTATATTTTGATATCATTGTCTTATACTTATACTTATCATATTATTAAACAGTACAAAGCTCCTAGTATTTAACATTAGTCTAATGGAAATTTTCTGAGATAATCTATTACATAATATACATATATACATAGACTGCTCTCGTATATACTATGTAGACTCCAGAACAACAGCTATGTACAGTTTATATAAATATACAGAGTATCTCATAGTCGTTACTTAAGCTAACCACAACGCACTTTAAGTGCTTTTATATGCTAATTCATTTTCATGGTAATATTTTTTTATTCAATATTCTTTTTATTTAATAGCAAAAGTGAGAACATTTTTTAGATCACTTGTGGAGAGCACAAATTTTAGCTGAATAAATTTTAATAGAATTTTCTGAGCGGTAATTTCTCAAAGAATAATTAAAATTCGTTTTCACTGGAAGCATAAAACTTAATTTCGAATAGTTAAATTAATTTGAAGAGCCTCCACATTTCTGTTGGGGGCGCTGGGCGTTACGAAGAGCTTGTTAAAGTGCGTATACCTGGCCTGATAATCATAGGCATAAATTGTGGAAGATCTTTAAGATGGTTAGCTGTGGAGTGTTTACCTGTTCACAGTTTTCGATTCGATTCCGATTTGATTCGCTTTGAAACGCTTTGATGCGATGGCCACTTAAAACTTGACTTGACTTTTTTCGGCTCATCAAATTTCGGCTGTCAAATTAACCGAAACTGAATGGGAGATGTGTGTGATGAGGGGCGCCCACACGAAATGCAAATGAATTGTTATCAGTTAATTGTCAACGGTTATCCACATCTCTCTCTCTCTCTCTCTCTCTTTCTCTCTCTTTAACGCGTGGGTGTTCCCAACTACAATAAACGGCAGCTAATAGTCCCCATTTAATACCTTCTGTGTCTTCCTATAAAGCGCAGCTGAATGCCTGACCAAATCCTTCTGTGCACAGTGGGCACAGTTATGCACAGTCTTGCCAGAAGGGGGAGGGGGGATAGATAGTTGTCACTGCATTTGGGAAGGGCAGCGAAAACAAGTTCTTGTGGCATCTGTGTGAAAGATCGTCTCTAAATGGGCTGCTCGGCATGGCCAGGCGCAAATATTTAAGTTAACAACTCGCCACTGAAGAAGAACATGAAAAAGAAGAAGCAGAAGAGGAAGAACAACAGTGCCATAAAAGCATAAACCGCAACTGCAACAACAACAATAACAACAACGGCTCTCATCTATGCGTCTGCATCTAGCTTGCGGGGGCGCAATGTTCAAAAGCCAACAAGAGAAAAAACAGTTGTTGTTGTTTTGTCGAATTTTAGTCGAATATTGCATACTCTTGCATACTTTGTGCCTTAAATAAACTCTAATGAGAGAGAAAGAGAGATAAAGAGAACAGCAATAGATTAAGAATATATGTATATATGAATAAATTTTTCCATTTGTTACATATTCCATGAAATGTTGTAAATGATCAACAAAAAGAGTAGCGAACAACGGCCGCAACAGCGACAGCGACAGAACTGCAGCAGCGCTGCAACAAAGGAGCAAAAGCTAGAGAACAACGGCAGAAAGAGCAACTGCAGCAGAGCAGCGCCAGAAGCGGAGTAATATCCACGAAGCAAAGACTAAAAAAGAGAGAGAGAGAGCAGCGACTGCAGAGCAGCGCCTCAAGAGAGGCAGCAGCGCAGCAACAGCAACGGCTGCAATTACAGCTACAAGTAAGCATCAGTAGCAGTTGCAGTCGACGTCGCCATCGCCGTTGCAGTCGCCATCCGCGACGCACCGAAGAGCAAAGAAAGCGAACTTGCTCTACGACTGCCCAAATTTGTATTATACGCACTGAGCGACACGAAGCCACGACGATCAATGCAGCTTCAGCTTCGACTGGCCGAACGCTCGGCTGGACTTTCGGTTTCCGTCGTGCGGTCAGAGTGCTTGAGCACAGTTCGTCGCGGAACTTCTAACCGAACGGTTGTGCTTTTGGCTGCGCCGCAAGCAGAGCTTCACTGTGCAATCGGCCGGCGATCAAATATCACGCAGTGAACGTGATCAGTGATCGGCAGGGAAAATCACTTGAAGAGATTTTTACGGCTCATTTACTTGGCATACGGAAGCTGCAAATGTTTATACAATTTTGTGTACGAATAAACACATGCATACATGCATAGTACATGTGTATGCACACGGTTTAAGCATCTATATATAATTTATTACATATGCAAATGCCGCGTATCTGCTTAATGTCAGCGCGAAAAAGTTCAATTTATTGTTTGTGATTGCAAATTTGACATAATTCGTGTATTTTACAACGCCCCAGGCGCTTCCTCGAAATTCACATTCGTCTTATCGGAACAAAAGTATATATATACAGATATACATCAATTTATCAGTATATATATACACACATTTTTATAGCTGCTTGTTAGCACAGCCTCCAGAACTTGGCCAATCGATTTGAACGTAAGTTAAATGCAAATCCATGTTAATCGCAATTAATTGCAATTATTTATAAAGTTGACATGCGACATTTCCTAGTTGGGTATGCCAGGTGCATTCATCTTGCTCAAAGATCGGACAACAAACATCTACTGCAAGCCAATTAAGGAGAACTTTGAGCTCGGTTTTTGTTTCTTTCTTTTCGTCTAATAAACCAGACTGACCTTATACAGAGCATAGATAACCTTCAAGTTATTATTAAACATTTGACAACAAATACCATTTCGATGATTACTTACTTATTAGGGAAAAAGTGACTGAAAGTGTTATCAAAGCTATGTATGTGAAAATTTTAAATAATTCTAATTTAGGTAAATATATATTTTTATATGAAACTGAATATAAGGAAACCTTAAAAATTTTACTTCATATATATTTTATATCTATAGCCATAACTGTATTTTAAGATCTAGTTTACATATCTCTACGATTTGTTGATCGCACAAAGACTTCATAACATTTTATAGTATTTTTACTATACCCATAATTGTTGACCAGGTGTGAAACTTACATTACCTGTTAATTACCCATTTTGATGTTCAGTTTAATTATGATGTCTCGAGGAAACAATAAAGCAGGAACTGTTGTTGTTTTGTGATTGTTGAAATACGTATCCTAGAATTTCCGTTTGCATTGAAAATCGTGTGACAAAAAAAAAAAATACTACAACAAAATAAAATAAAAACAAAACAAAAATTAAATTGTGACATTGTCACGATCGCAGAATTTCGATCGTGCTGCATATGGAAACAAAATAGAAATATATACATACATACATATATCACTTGCATGATTTGCGCAATTTGTGTCAGAATAGAGCAGATACACATATAAATACATAGCTATACAATATATGTATATATGTTCTTTAATATGTCTAGTCTGAGTAATGCCAATTGGATTTTCTGTGTTTTTCTTTTCGGCTCAAGCGCATATTAGATCCAACTCGACTCGAGTCTGCATAATTTTCAGCTTTGTAATATTTCTTGTTTCTGCTTTTCTAATTAACCGAGAGTCATTTGCATGAATAACGCAGCTAACGGTAAATGGGAGTTTATGTCTTTTGTCTGTAGCAGACAAAACTCTCTGGGTCAGACAACAAAGACATACGACTCGGATTTGGACTGCCACTTGAGCCTCGGCCTGGAAGCTGGGGAGCGGGAACTGGAAACTGACTGGCATATAGGATTGCGACTGCGCGACGGCGTGTAAGGCGTTTTTGTGCGTGGGCGTGACCAACGCCCCCTTTTTACAGCTGCCAAGCAATTAGCAAAAGACGCTGGGACAACAGCGCCTACAAAATACTTGTTACAGACTCGAGTTGTAATTTTTTTTATATGCCAAATACCCATTAAAAATCGTATTTCAAAGAGGGTCGACTGCGACTTCTGTATTAGGTTGGAATTTTCTGTAAAAAAAAATAAAATAATAATGTCTAGATAATTTTAGGCTTTGCAGGCTTTTTAATGGAGCTGGACTGACTTGCTCTCTCAGTTTTTCTTTCTCTCTCTTGCACATAATCTATCGATAGCTCTAGATAAATGTTTATTTATATATATAAGAAAACCTATTATATGAGATAAAGAGTATTTTAAAGCTGATCCTTGTATAGTTTCACATAAAAATGCATATGCTGTATAAGGGGTATGCGCTTGTCGTTCACATTAATTGGCTCAGTTCTTGTGGTTTATGAAAATAACTTATATATGATTTACTATAATACACCTACATATTTGCTATGCTTTACGCTCGCAACTTTTTACAGGGCATCTGCTAGTCGATCCCGTGTAACTAGCTTGCGCTTACCTGTTTTTTTTTTCTGTTGCCTTTTTGCAATTGTTATTCGATTGGAAGTTTTGCATTTGAAGTTGAACTTGTTGAGTCCGAGTCGTTATGTTATGTTTGTTATTTGTTAAAGGTTTTGTTGTTGTTGTTGTTGTTGTAAATGTTGCTGCTGTTGCCTGTTGCCAGTTGCCATTGTTATTGTTATTGTTGTTGTAGCTGGGTGCCAAAATGTCAAGCTGTCCGCATTGGAACATGTTGCGCATAGTTTTCTTTTGACTTTGAGAAAACACAAGGCGCAAGACTTGAAACACATTCCATTAATTGGATCGAGTGTAAAGTGTAAACAAAAAGCCTGCTCGATCGATCGCACGTATCACCCCCATCTGCTCCGCCCCGCTCTCACACTCACCTCAACCCAAGTTTGTTGATCTTGCCGGGAATGAAAATAAAAGAAGAGCAATGAAATACATTAAAATTAAAAGTGAAATACAATAAAAACAACAAAAATAAAATAAATACAAACATGTCAAAAAAGTTAACGAAATACAAAATGCGAGCAGGCCTATATATTGCGTGGTTATGGGCATTAAATTAAATGACAATCAATATTAAATCAATAACAATAAAATAGAAAAAATAATAAAAAAAAAAATAAATGAATTGAAAAAGATATTATAAAAAAAAATGTTAGGCAAAGAATCTTAAGCAAATAATACAAAGAAATAAAATAGAGTACTATTAAAAAATAATCATAATAGATAGAATTTTATAACAAATATTTTGAAAGGTTTTTGGTCTATCAAATTGAAGTCGTAATAGTTAAAAATTTCTTGTCTTCAGCTCTTAGAGCTTTTGAGATAAACGAGTGGACTGATGAACAAACAGAGAGATGAAGCTAAATAGACTCAGTTCATATACCTAATCAATAATAGATGTATATGCTATAAAGGTTCTGTCACGCCTCCTTCTGCCTGTTATATACGTTATCAATTATTATAATATAATATTATTTAAGGAGTGATCGAGTAGCCAAGTGCTAATCAACTCCAAATTTATTAATGGTTCGACAGAACTTTTATATGTATATACAAAAATGTTAAGGCTTTCGCTGTAACCCATGCGCTTACTTAACATTTTTGACCTTCTTGACGTGAGAACCAAAATGTGAAGAACAACAAAAAGGCAGCACACAACAATAACAACAACAACAAACACATTGTGAAAACACAATGTCCGTTGAAGACACAATGTGTAACGACAGTTGGCACATATTTGATGATCTGTCAGATAAGATATAGCACGACAGGAATCCATCGGGAATGCCGACAGAAATGCAAAGTTTATTGAACCCCAAAGCAAAATATAAATAAAAACAAAAATAAAATTCAGCCAAACAAATGAAAAACAAATGAGAGCTAATGTGCGGCTAGCTAATGTATGCCGCTTGGGTGGTGCAAGGTGGTGCAGGGTGGTGCTAAAACTCAACTAGCTGGCAGCTATAGAAACATTTAATAGACGAAACGTTCAACAATTTGATGAGAGTCCAACTTGGGCCGCAGATCTAAAGCATTTAACAGTTCATCTATGTCCGTGTGAAACAATTTGAAAAGCCAAAGGCGATAAATACAAATGTTGCCAAACAAATGTTGTTGTTGTTGTTGTTGTAGTTGTTGCTGGCGTTAAGCTCTTAGTTTATCTCTTTATAAGAACATCGAGGCGTGCCGTGTTTGTAACATGTTGCAGAGTTGTTTTTGCTGTTGTTGTTGTTGTAATGCGATTACACAAAACATAAATAAAAACGCAGCTGTTTGAATTGCACAAAAAAAAAAAAAAAAACGAGAGAAAGAGTGAGAAATATGTGTGTGTATATATAGAGACCATGCAGCTTGGTTGTGAAGAAAAAAAATAAAAAATAAAGAGAGACTGAAGACTGAATCGAAAGGCAGCCAAGCATTTAATTAACATTTAAATGGCTGTGCTTGAGGAGCTGTTACTTTAAATTACGGCAGCCAAAAGATGGAAAAAAAGAAATATAAAATAAAATTATGTATCTTAAACACCAAAACACACACACACACGCACACACAGTTGCGTGTGTGTAAACAGGTTCGAGTTAAACAAAAATCTGTGAAGAGAGACAAAATTAATGCCCACGATAATTAAGCAATTGCAATATGTAGAGAGCCTGTAGTCAGCATGGGCAACAGCAGCATACACTGACACGCCCCCCCCCCCCCCCCCCCCCCCCCCCCCTCCGTCTGCTGGTTACGTCTCTGGCCGCTGTTTCACCAAATGATTAATGGAGAAATGCAAAAGTTTTATTAATAAAACGACGCTGGCCACGTTCCCGGAACAGTTCTTAGACAGCGAAACAGCAATGACTCGAGCCACACCATTTGCCAGATCGTCATAGAAAAATACACGCAGCATATATATATATATGTATTATATATATATATAATTTTCTATATTTGTACAGTGCGGATAGGCATTGGTGAACAATGCGCCAACGCCAACTCCTACAGAGCGCAGTCAAATATTTGTGGTATTTCATGTTAATTGATTTTAGATTTACTCTAATGTTAATTATTATTAATAATTATTTATGTGTAAACAGTTTTTTTTAGTATTTCTTATTTAGAATTTCATTATATTGGAGCTGTTAACAGTGTAAATAAAAATATAACACATTTTAAAATATTCTATGCATAACAAAAAAATAAAATAAAATAAAAGTAAAATAAATAAATAAACAAAACTAAAATAATTTTAAAAAAATTGGCAAAAAATTTATATACATATGAATATTTTGTAAAAAAATAATAAAACACTTTAATTTATTTTTAAAATTATAAAATTATATTTATGAACATTGAAAATTTTATATTTTTTCAAAATAAAAATGAATTAAATAATTAATTTTTAAAAAATTTTTAAATGAAAAAAAAAAAATTTCAAAAGGTTTTATGCACCTAATATGGTGCATATTTATGTAAAATATAATTTAAAACTATGCCAACTATGGAAGAGCCTATGCAAAAATATATGTTAATATATTTTTAAGGGTTATTACTCGTAAGACTGTGTGCATATGATAATAATATATATGATAATAATAATAATATATATTAATATATAAGATAATTAATATAAGAGTTATTTCTCGTAAGACTGTGTGCATATGATAATAATATTTAGTCATGTGACACTTGTAGCGAGTGTTTACTGTTTTGTCCAATGTTGTCATATGTGTTTATAGTATCTTCAGCATCTATAGCTATATATATGTATGTATGGGTCTATCTCGTCTGCTTCTCGCATCTCTTGTGATTCATTGGCCATAGCTCATGTCTGGGTCAGTCAACACAGACACATGGATGAGATGAACACCCACAGCTTTGTGGTGTGTGTGTGTGTGTGTGTGCGAGTGTTTCAGTTTGACAAAAATAAAGTTGACATTTTCATGCTGTTTTTTTTTGTGTGTGTGTCTTCCTCTTCTTCTTCTTCTTTCGACGCCTTCAAACGCAGTGGCATGCAGCATTTAGCCATGTGATTTATGTGCTGGGAAAACAGATCAATAACATTTAATACACACACTAATTCCCTCATCCCACACGCACACACGCACACACATGCGCTCAGAGCTTAAGATATTTATGGTCAAAATTCCAGTGAAGCAGGTAAACTTGATTTATCCAGCATTTGTTCCTTATGGCCAATGCCATCTATTAATTAGAAATATATCAAAATATTTTTGCCTTCTGACTCTTTTGTTTAAAGCCGCACAGCCGCGCGCCCCCGCCCCTGTCTGTGTCTGTGCCCGTTCCCACCACGGCGCACGGTGGGCCCGAATTGATTTATCTCTGCCTTGAACGATTTTGGCAAGCCTCCGACGCGTCGGTGGGCCCAGAGGCAAGACAAGGTCAAGGCGAGTTGTCAACGTAGCTTTGAACTTAGATTTCAATGGAAAAAGCATTTGCTAATGTCTTTTATAGAGATATATGTATATATATTTATTTTTTGTTTTGTGTTTTATTTTTTGTGTCTGCAGTTTCGATTAAGCGAAACCTTTTTTGCATTTCGCGGAAGACTCTCAAAACTCAGCTGGCAGACTTCGGCCTGGCGTTATGACCTGACCAAGAGTCTTTAAATACATATATTTTGATTTTATTTTGGGGCCAGCCTGACTGACAGCTGGACAGTGAGACAGTCAAGCCCCTTTGGGCTTGGGTTTCACTTACTAAGCGGCTTAGGGCCGCACCTGATGAGCCAAGGCAAAGGAGCTGTACTCCTTCGATTGCCGCTCTCTTTTCTGTAATTTGAGTTTTTTCTCTTATTTATTTCAGCGTATTTTCTTTTTTTGTAAATTTTAATTAGCTGCAGCAATTGTTCATCGTGTTGTGGCCGCTGTCATTGAGCATTTTCCATTATGCTGAAATTGTTTTTTAATATGCCCATTAAAAGGGAGGCTGGGGTATGGGGTATATTGTTAATGAGTGAGGCAGAAAGTTTTTTTTTTTACAGTTTCATCAACATCTTGTCTACTTAAAGTGATTCAAACTGATTAGAAAAGAACAAAGTTGCAGACATCGATAAATATCGATAGACAGCTAAGACTTTAAAACTATTCAAAGAGCTTAGAGATTGTGGAAATAACATAGAAATAGGTTTATATAATTGGGGAGCTTAAGTAAAATTTACATACTTTCCAGCTCTCGTATTCATACATATTTAGTGACTAGATACCCTGTAATGAATGTTGATTCACTGTCACTGTTATCTATATAAAGACCGACTAATGTATTCCTCTAGTTTCCATATCAACTGCATATGATCTACAGGGTATCTGCTGTTGCAACACTCAAGTCCCATTGCCTTCCGAATTTCTATGTAATTGGAGCAGCCACAACAACAACAACAACAATTTCAGTTAAGAGACACAAGTGTAACAGATGTTAGGCCAACTTGAAGTTTAATGAGCTGAGTCGTAAATTCCATTTGATGGCTGCCCGAAGCAATGAATATTAATAAGCTCACTGAGCAAGCGCAATCGAAATTAAAATTGTTATTAGAATGGAGCCGAGGTGGCCTGGGGGAGGTCGAGTCTGAGAAGAGGGCATGCTGACAAATGATGTGCCAACGGCGTGAAATATATTTTCGATAAAAGTGTCGGAGGCGACAACAAAGCATTGCCAAAAAGGAAAAAAACTCAAAATGAAACGCAACGAGGATCACTTCCGGCTACGCATCAATTAATTTCAGGTCACTCGCCGGTTCAGTTAACTGTTAACGTGTTCTTTTGTTGTAGCTAAGCAACTACAGAAATCACAACAACAACAACAGCAACAATAGCATGCATAATATTAATAATAATAATAATCGAAATCTCTGGCTACGTCACGTTGTACAAATTGCCTTTGTCTCCCGCTCTCTGTGGGCTTATTCAAGTGCTTCCACTCGACCATGAAAAGAGCAGAAATACATATATATATGTATATATATTATTGTGTACATACATATATAGATACATATATGAAACACTCACTTGCTGACAGCTTTTGAACTTTTGAATGCCCTTTGTGCGAGCCTATAGAGTATACCGTTTAGGTGACTAACTGAACTCTGGCTTACAACAAAGCAAGAGTTTGCTTATCGAAAGCATTTATTGAGCTATATTAAGATAATAATAATTCGAGCTGTTGCTTAAGGCATTTAGTTGTATTAACAGTGAAAGTGAGTTTAACAGCAGCTCTAATGTTAGAGTATATGTTATTCTAATGTTAAACTAAGTACTGTTAAATGTTGTTTTACTTATTATGCGACTATCTTGACTACATTCTGAACATGTTGTATAACAAAATGTTAACAGATTTTTGTTAATTTTTAAGGCCTTGACAGTTTACTTTGGAATTTATTTCAACATGTTACTTGACAGAATGATAACAGCATTCCGTGAATTTGAATTTTCTGTTAATTCCATGTTATTATGCAGCAGTTAAATGAAGCCCAACATAATGTTATTGATGTATTATCCACTACAGAAATCTAACTACTTTTCTCCATGAGTCGAAGCAACTTTTTGCTGCATTGCCACACGACTAACGCTTTTGACTGTTGGCAGACAAATTACGACTCATATGCCAGCCGCATAGCAAGCTGTTGGGTCATATCCTATTATATTAGCAGACATAATTTAGCCAGACACTTGCCATAGTTGAGCAGAGCTACGATTGTGAAGCTAAGCCTACTCGAATTCCTTTACATTGTAGAAACTTGAACAGCTTGACTCAGGTCGAGTGGACTCGACGCGGCCGCGTTGATGGACAGGCCGGTGTGCTGGGTAGACAAAGGAATTGTTAATGAGCAACGAGGATACTCGTTATAGAGACAGACGGAGCGCAGCTTGTGATCCGTCTTGCTGCTTACATTAAGCGAATGGCTAGGAATTTGAATGAGTTGACGGAGCGAAAGTGAATGGCTGGCTGCTCACTTAATAAAGCTGTACATCTCTTCCTCTTTGCAGTTACACTCGGGCTCGTGACGATGATGTTGCACCACAGCACAGTTGTGCTGCTGCTGCTGCTGCTGCTGGCCGCGGTGGCAACAGGTACCCAGAACCAGAGCCAGAGCCAGAGCAAGAGCCCCACCCGCTTGCACCACAACGGACATCGAGTGCATCGACAGCGTCATCCGCACAACGCAGTCAAGTCGGAGGTGGAGCTGCTGCCGGGCGTGTCGATGCCCCCAATGGCCGGTCGTGGCACGGATAACACGCGTCTGCGTCGCCTGCACCACGCGCACCACCCATACAACAAGGTGTTAACGCGTCGCCTCCATCAGCGACCCACCGAATGGGACTACAATACATACAACATTTATACAAACACCTTTGGGCCGCCGCCACCGCCGGTGCCCGTCTCGCCGTACGCCGGCAAGGGCGAGGACAATACGGGCGATGTGGAGTTCATCGGCGTCACCGGGCGGGGGCGTGGCAGTGAGTATGTGCCGCCAATTACGACAGCTGCGCCGCCACCGAATCTCAATCGGCGCGCAGCCACGCCGGGCCTAGGCATGGGCACCGTGCCGCCGCTGGTGCCGGCACGACGTGGCTACAGCTATTCAACCACGGCGCCCAGCACCAGCAGCAGCACCAGCAACGCCAGCAGCACCACCAGCGGCAGCACCACGGAGGAGCCCTATGAGACGAACACAATCAGTCGCAATTATCCCACAGATGCCAAGGAAATGGAGCGGTAAGTTGAGCAACTAGCAAGACGAAATACCCTGTATTTTGTTGTTGCATAAATATCGATAAGTATCGATTAATATATATAATAATTATAGTAAAGTATGATAATATATTTAATTACTTTCGCCATGCTCATCCAAAAACTTTCTAGGGTATAGGTTCTATAAAACTAGCTATAGAATTGAGACTTGCATAACTTTAGTAAATATTTAGTCCTAGCTCTAGCCTTGACCTTCTCAGCAGCCTACAGGGTATTCATGTAGTCGCCTCACTAGCCGCTTTGCTCTTCAGCTGGGCGTATGCAATTGCATTTAGTCGTGGTACGGCCCAGTCCAATATTCAAGGCTGCGCAAGCGATAAATTTTCACCTTTACCTTTAGCTTCAGCTGTTGCTGCTGGTCTGCCTGGCTGCCCCTAAGCAGCGAGCTTATCTGAATGCTCATAAATTATTTAAATGTGAAATGTTTCAATGTCGCAAGACGCAGCCCAGCGACGAGCAGCAACTGTTGCTGCTGCCGCCAATGCTGCCGCCGCTGCTGCTTCGATGGCTGCTCCTCTCTATGGTCGCTTCAAATGTCAGCCTTATTAGCTTCAAGGCTAAGTGGCTGGCGAGTTGTTTCGATTGTTATGTCAATTGCAACAAATCAATGTGCACTTGTTGAGGTTGTTGTTGTTGCAGTCAGGCTCCTTTGCCATGCCACATGCCAGAGAGCCAAAGTAGTGTGAGCCAAGATTGCGTCTGGCATTGACTTGAGCTGAGTTAGTGCCTCCTCAAGAGTTCTGCGTCATTGTCTCTCCGTAAGGTAATGAACTTTAACGAGTTTTCAATTGGCAATGCTGATACTTTGTAATTGGAATTAATGTGCGTCTACTTAAGGGCAGTTGCATGCCACGCCGCAGTCGCAAATGCCAAATGGCAATCAAGAATCGACAACAACGGCAATTGGCATTTGCCAATTGGCATACGTTGCGTATGCTCAATCTGCAGCAGGAGCAGGCGGCGCTGCAATTGAAGGTGTTGCTCTGCTTGTTGCTGTTGTTGCTAGTTATGACACATTTTGATTTATGTGGCGGCTACAACAGCAACAAC